CCCCAAAACCCCAAAACCCCAAAACCCCAGGGATCCATAATTATATAAATAAAGCTAAAATTATAAAATTATACTATAGGAAATTATTATAATAATTGAAAGTAGTCTGATTGAAATAAATAATGATGATAGACAAGCAGAAAGCTCTCTCTGAAGTCAAAGTTGAAGAGTTAAAACTTCACTTCAACTCTGATATCAAACCCTTAACTCGCAACTCAAGCATTACCAAAAAGGAAAGCGCATCCCACAAGAACTAAGGCCTATAAAAGAGCTCTGCTAAAAAATATGACTAGGCTGCTCATTCAAGTAATGCTTTCTCTAAATCAACGATGGATGATGAAATGTACTAGATGTGTTTGAAGAATCCTGAAAAACAAAATCTGGAATAGATATAAAAAGAAGTCGAAAGAAACTCTAACTGAAAGCAGACCTAACAATAGAAAATCAAAAAGAGCAATCGAATTAAGCCAGTTGAAGAGTAAAATTTGTCAAATTTTGATAAAAGTCAATAAATGCAGAATAAGTCTAAAATGACTGCCAAAACTAGTTATAAATCATAAGAAAACAACTCTAATCACAGAGAATAGTCATAGAATAAATCACAATATCAAAAAAGAGAATCGAAAGCTAGCTCCTAGAATGCTATTCATAAGAAGATAGTTTTGATTGGTAATACAGCCGTAGGTAAGACAACTCTTATCAAATAGTATATCACTGGATCGAGTGCATTTGAGTAAAATTTAGCAACAATAGGAGCAGAAAGTTACAAAAAGGAATTAGACTTGTCTGAATAGAATTGCTAGTGTGTTATAAGTTTGAGTATTTGGGATACGACTGGCTAAGAAAGATTCAGAAGCATCTCTCCATTATATTACCGAGAGGCAGATACAGCGATATTCGTCTATGATGTTGAAGATCAAAAGTCTCTTTAGGACATCAAAGAGTATTGGCTTCCAAGTGTGTAGAATAATGGGCCAGCAGATATGTTATTTGTGCTGATAGGTACTTAGGTCCTTTCACCAGAACTGAAAAAATAACCTGACAGATTGATTTCTATGCCAGTAGACAGCTTTTTTCTCTAAGAATTTATTATAGAATCTGATATCTCTATCTCCAAGATAGTTACGCTAGACAATCCATCAAATAATTTAGTTCTAGAATAAATATTTAAGGAGATCGGAGAATGTATAAAAAAGAAAAGCTCTAATGTAAGAAAATCCCTCAAAATAAATGTATTTTATAGTGTGCAAAAGAACGATATCATAGTGTAAGATTGTAGAAAAGTTCATCCTCAATTAATAAGAAATAATCGTAATCAAAATGTTGTTGATATTTAGCTCTCTAATTTTTCATATTAATCTAAAGTTTTAACTAATTTTAATATGTTAAGCAGCCGGGGTTTTGGGGTTTTGGGGTTTTGGGGTTTTGGGGTTTTGGGG